ATTGAAAAAGGTCTAGCCAGACCCTAGCGCTAAACGGAGGGTTAATAATTATATATAGTAAATTACTATTAGTAATATATTATATTTAATATAAGAACGTTTCCCGTTAAAGATTGAAAATATAAGTTTTATAGAGGGTGATTTTAAGGTTTAAATTATGGATTTCTTTGGAAATTTCAGATAACAGTCCCCGTTTCAAAATCATTCATTGAATTTCTGAAAGTTCAGCCAATTACTTTCAAAATATTCGGCCACTATCAACGACATCCTTTGCATAACATTGCAAAACAAGATTTTCAAACACGACCACCACCACGACGTATGTTACCGCCAAGCATTCCGATTAGTCAACCGGTTCGCAGTCCTAAATTTGGCCCATTACCTTGTCCATCGTCATTATCATCAACTGTGCTTGCGAAACATGATATTTTAGTTTGGTTCGAGATCTGTGAATTAGCTCCAAGTGGTGAATATGTACCATCAGTAGTTGAACACAGTGATGACCTGCCTTGTCGTGGTTTGTTTCTGCTTCATCAAGGGATTCAGCGACGTATTCGTCTAACAATAGTGCATGAAGCAACACAAGAGGTCAAGTGGAAGGACATAAGGGAGCTAGTTGTTGGTAAGTTGAATCTATGTGTTCTTAAAATGCCCTTTGTAAGTGTATTTAATGTTATCATGATCATATACTGAAACATTTTAAATCGGAAACAATTTCAAGAAAAAATTTATGTCCAAATTTAAATTGAGGGGCCAAAAAAATAATCTTGCCTTGAATTGATGTTTTGTATTGGGATTTTTTCTTTGGATTGTTTAATATGATAAAAATGTAAGATAGTGATAAATTGTTTTTTATAGGTCGAATTCGAAATACACCTGAGCCCGCAGACGAGTTAGATGATGACTCGTGTGTTTTATCTTTGGGTCTTTTTCCGGGAGAAAATCTTGAAGCACCTGGTGACGATCGGTAAAGTGCTAATGTTTGATACGTAGAATTTTCTTTTTATTAAGATATATTCTCACAAGTAACTATCTGATAAAAAAAATGTTACAAAGAAAAATTCACGCAATAACAATAGAAAAAAACCAGGGGAGCGACGTGAAACGTACGATTAAAAATCTGACATCAGAGCC